TGAACAACAACGGGGAACGACTCCTTGGACTGGCATCAGACAACCAACTCCCTNCGTCAGACGGACCGGCGTTTCGTGCGTAATGTCTCCGTCAAACGCGTCGAATTCAAGGACTCTGACCACAACCTCGTGTTACGACTGTCCGCCTCCCCCCCTGTGTCGCACCCAACCGACGAGTGCGGGGGAACAGCGGAAGCAGCCGGATCCGTATCGACCTCGAGCGGTTGAGGAAGGACAAACACCTACGGGACGCCTTCCAAAACAGGGCCTCTAGCCGCCCTCCGCCCACGGCGCTCAGGCGGCCAACGGGAGAGACCGCCGCCGAGCTGACGGCTACGGTGATGTCGGCCGCTGCTGAGACCGCGCCGCTGGCGAGGTGTGCACGCGGGCAGAGAGGCTGGTACATGAGCGAAGCGCAACACGAGATCTCCGAAGCGTCTAAAGTGGTTAAGGCGGCCCAGCAGCAACTGCGTGGGGCCTCAAAGAACAGCGCCTTCGAGGCGACCCTGAAGGCGATGCTCAAGGCGGCGCGGAAGAAGCGAAGCATCGCGAGGTGGAGAGCACTGGAAACGTTCTTCGAGGGCTATGTATGCATACGGCAGCGCGAGAAGAAGAGCCGCGAGGGGGTAAGACGGGGTTCTACAGGCACCTGAAGATGATCGACGTCGAAGGTAAGAGGTCGTTCACCTCTTAGAACATCAAGGACGAAGACGGAAAGGTCCTTCGGGACCCCACGTTTATTCGCCAACGGTGAGCATGGTGGTTCGACAAGCTTCTCAACAACAAGTCGCCGACCATCGACCTGCATGCGGCTGACAAGGTCAAGCGGTGGCCCACGTGCGTGCCACTCGACGACATCCCATCTCTACTTGAGGTTGAGGAAGCGGTACGGGAAATGGCCAACAGAAAGGCCGTCGGGCCGGACGACCTACCGGCTGAGCTGATCAAGCTTTTCCTGGACGGAGATCAAGGTCTCCTCCGCGAGTTCCACGCCATTGTCGTGGACGTGTGGCAGACTGGGGACGTACCACAGCAGTGGAAGGATGCCACCATCAAAGTGCTGTTCAAGAAGGGGGACACGATGGAGTGCGGCAACTACCGGGGCATCTCGCTCGTCGCACACGCCGGCAAGGTGCTGCTTAAGGTCGTCGCTACACGACTGAGCCACTACTGCGAGCGAGAGGGCATCCTCCCGGAGGAGCAGAGCGGTTTCCGCCCACACCGGTCGACGCTCGACATGCTGTTCGCCATCCAGCGGCTCCATGAGCTCGCGAGGAAGAAGAGTACTGCGGTGTTCGCGTGCTTCGTCGACCTCACCAAGGCATACGATTCGGTGGACCGAGACCTACTGTGGGACGTGCTCCGACGCTTCGGCGTGCTCCCGAAGATGCTGGCGGTCATTCGCCACTTCCAGGAGGGCATGAAGGCGCGC